GTTTGCTTATATAACATGAGGACACGGGACACAGAGTAACACAGCAAGAGGGCCATTACTGTTCGTTCTTCCTCTTAATCTAGAAGTGCAGCACCATCTGTGCTTACACTGAGAAGCACATGCATCGTGAAAATAGTTCCTGAATGCCCCTGTTGTACCCATCAGTTGCTGGATGCTAGGGACATATTAGTGAAACTGACAAATTATGTCATCATGGTGCTTATGATCTGGAAGGCAAGAGTGACAGTCAGCAGTCATTACCCCAATTACTGTATAATCACTAGCATAACAAGGAGTATACATGAGAAGTGTGGGTGCAACAGAAGTATATATACAGTTTGTGGTGGTTGAGTCATGATTTCTGAAGAACACAGCAATTTAAACCAAGACCTAAAGGCAACAAGACAGATACAGAATATAGTGAAGTGATTCAAATGTACAAACAAAACTATACAAAACATCTCATTTCAGCTGTCGACATTTTTAAACTTATTTTAAAATTTAATGATTTTTAATATTTTGCCACATTCACTTCACATGTAGACATTCTATGTATACACATATGTACTATTTTTTCTCGAAAACAGGGATATTACTCTCACAGAGTGGGTGATTCATGACAGTGATCATAACGTGGGGAAAGAACAGTATGTTTTCATACACATGGTATAATTCACTGAAGCCGTGTTTATAACCGTAGGTCAGATAACATGACATCCACACAATTTTTATACTCTCTCTATATTAACTCCCATAAATAAGAGAAAACAGTGATACTTGTCTTTCTGGGTCTGGCTTATTTCACTTAGTGTAATGATGTCCAGTTCTTTTCATTGCTTAAAAGATGATAGGAGAAAACCTTCCAAGTGTCCTTACACTTTCAAATTTTTATTGTAAGCTATTACCAGGTTGTCAGACTCAACATAGAAATTAAAGTTTGATTTAGTAAAAACACATTAAGGTGGATTACTTTGTTACAAACTCAAGTGTGTGTATTTGAAAAGCTAGAATTTTTAAAATACTCTCACTAAATTTCCAGTTTCTATGATGTAACTCGCAACATGGAGATGGATAAGGTTGTATTTGCTTTGGAGAGTGTTTTAATTTATATTTTTAGGCATTGTTGTGAAGTGGAAAGAACATTGAATCTGACGTCAGGAGGGCTGGGTTCTATTTCTGCTTCTGACAGTTACTCATTTACTGGGGAGCCATAGGCAAGGCATTTAAATGTGTTTCCTCTTTTGCAAAAGGGGATATTATTTACAAAAGCCTCAAGTTACAGAAGCTTAACAGAGGAGCACCATTAGCTCGGGAGATGACTCTATGGGTTAGGGTCAGATGGTTCCTGAAATCCCCTCCTCCTTTCACTTAACTCTGTTTGCTCTTCCTTTTGGCTTTATGGCAATAAAGGACCAGGAATCTCATTACCTTAAGACTGGAAGAAAAAGAAAGAAAGGACTGGCAATTTTTGGTGACAATGACAGAACAACTACATAATAAGAGCAAAAGTTAGCTTGAGAGTAAAGAGGTTATGATGAGAATCAGTTACCACCTCAAGTTACGTGAGGCTCTTTCATTTTCTCAGCGGGACTTGGGGCCCTGTCGCCAGAAATCGTCCGGGTCCTAGAGAACCAAGCGAACCGCTCCTCGTTCTCTCTGAATTGTGCTTTCTTCATCTTGCTGTTCCTCCTCTGTAACACCTGCGTGCCATGCTCAGCACCTTTTGTCTTCCGTCTGCTCTCCTTGCTTTTCCTTGTGTTCTTTGTTGCTACTCTCTTTCCCCTTTCCACTGCTTCATCCCACAAGAAAACAATTACTGAGCAGACCTCTCAACAAACAACCAAAGCTTACTAAAAGCCTTAGAAATGATAATCAGTTGTCCTAACAATGTATCACAATGGTAAACTTGCCAATAAATCACATCCAAAGGTCATTCCTTGAGTTACCCAGTACTACTTGGAAGGGTTTCCAGTTGCAAAGATAAAGTAGTATCCTACCACTTATGTGTTGGTACGTCCATTTTTTAAGAGGAAAGTATGAAGATTGATAAGCATTGTATTTGTGTTTAGCGTGTAGATCATTCAGGGATAAATATATCACAATCTGATATTAGATAACTTTATGGTCATTTTGTAGGTAGGCCCTTCAAAGAATTTACTTGTCAGTCCATAATGGTTGTAATTACATAGCTAAGAAAAACAAGCATAGGTAAATCAATCTGAAAGAAAAAAGAGGGTTTTCTTATCAGATGAGCACGTGTTGTTACTTCAGATTATTTTCTTACTACTTATTTCAGATTATTGTTTTACTACTATTTCAGACTATTTTCTTACTTGCTACTACAGAAGAATTTCTCAGCATCACCAGCCTTTTGAAAACCATCTGAGAACAGACCAGCACAGGAAGAAGCTGCCTTACAAAAGCCAGAATCAAAATGCGTTGGCAGTCAGGAAGGGTATAATGAAAGGTTTTCCAATATTAGTCTTTTCGTTGCAGGACAGGCTACCATGAAATATGGTACCTTGGCATTTGAGAAAACAGCAGAAGCCACGTCTCTTACTTTCTCCCACACTTCTCCATGAAGGAGGCCATAAAAGGATTTTGTGATCTCCCTATGAAGCAGAACATAGGCCCTCCTTTAAGAGATGCCTTCTCCAAACCCAGGGAAAGGCATGTCCTTACCTCTGAGGACAGAGATACAGAGAAGAACCCAGACAAATGGGTCTTGTTAAGTTTCTCTCAGTTCATCACCATTACATTCTATTTATTTTGTCCATTCATACTTCTCTGTGACTATCCACTTCATCAAATTTAGCACAAAAATATACATATTTTTCTATGTCCTTGAGTCTTCATTTCTGAAACCTCCTATGTTACAAAAAAAATAAAGTTGTTTGCTTTTCTCTTGATTACCTGTTTTTTTGTTATTGCTGCCTCAACCATTGCCCTAGCAATGGGTAAGAAAGAACTATTTTCTCTCCTAAGACATGTTGATTGATCAAGTTTAATTCTTGCAGATTGGCTGGGGTTGGGTTTTGCTGGAAGCCACTCAGAAAAAATGAAAGAAATCATGAAACCTCTGGCTCTGTTGACTAAAGCATTTCATTTATTCATCTGTTAACTCAGTACAAGAGAGAGTTAATAAGACAAATTTTAGTTGTCCAAGAACTCATAACTTTTCAATTCAACTTTTTGATCAATAAAAGCTAGGTAATAATAAATTGATAGCATGTGCATGTACAAAAGAAAAAGAGTAGTTAATATTATGTAGAAACAAATCTTAATAGCATGAATGAGCTTGCAAAAAGATGAAAAAAATTCTGATTTTTCCAGCTTGAAAATCTAAACAAAAATTTTGCTTCTTTGGAAAGTCGTTTCATAAACATTTAACCAACTCCAAAAAAATCTGGAGTCCTTTCTCTAAAATCTGTGTTTTGCCAGAATTCAAGTCTAAATGACTTGATGCATGGTGGATAGCAGAGCCAGGAGTCACTGGCTGCTTAGTAAGTTGCTTGCTAAAGTTCAGCAAGGGGCCTGAGGAAACTCTGAAATGAAAAAGTCACTGGAAATGGGACTCATGGACGTAGGTAACCTGAAATCAAAGGAGTGGTGTATCTTTAGAACAGGGTATTTAAGTAATAGACAGAAACAGATTAGGTTGGAACATTGACAGAGAACGGTTTGAAGCTAAGCTCTGATCAGTGCTGGGGAAGGTGTGTTATGAGCATCCCCACTGCTTACAGAAGTAGCTTATCTACAGAGGAGGAAGAGTCACCTGATTAGCCCAGTGGGACAAGGCTTCTCCTTATTTTCAGGCACTTCTTTTTCCTCTGATTCTGAACTTGTTGGCCAAGCCTCTAACCTAAATTTTGTTTTCCAATTATTCTTTCCTGCAAGTAAAAAGACCGGAAAATTCCAGATTGCTTTGCAAGTGTGCTTTACACATAATTTAATAATCTGCTTTCCAACAGCTTCTACTGAGCTTTTTTCTCAGCATGAACGAGTCCCTGAGAAGCTGTCTGTTCTACAGCGGAATGAGTAAAGGTGAATTTCTAGACATGTTCAGTTTCATTTGATGGAGACCTCACAAAGATTTATTTGCTCTGAGTTTCATTGCAAAAGAAGGGCTGCCAGGCATTCTCTTCTTACCAACGTTAACTGTAACATGGATATTCTAAAACCTGCATTCCATCATCCAACCTGAGGCATTCTCTTTGCTTAAAACTACATAAAATCTGGCCGGCGCCACCACTCACTAGGCTAATCCTCCGCCTGCGGTGCTGGCACACCAGGTTCTAGTCCCGGTTGGGGCGCCGGATTCTGTCCCAGTTGCTCCTCTTCCAGGCCAGCTCTCTGCTGTGGCCTGGGAAGGCAGTGGAGGATGGCCCAAGTGCTTGGGTCCTGCACCCCATGGGAGACCAGGAGAAGCACCTGGCTCCTGGCTTTGGATCAGTGCGATGCACCGGCCGCAGTGCGCCGGCTGCGGCGGCCATTGGAGGGTGAACCAATGGCAAAAAGGAAGACCTTTCTCTCTGTCTCTCTCTCTCACTGTCCACTCTGCCTGTCAAAAAAAAAAAAAAAAAACCTACATAACATCTTATTTTAAGTTATGGTAATAATGGTAATCATTGGGGATGGATAATGACACATTGAAAATTCATTATAGTAGTCTTTCCATTTTGTGGATTAGAAGATTCCATAAAAAGTAATAAAACCAAACCAAATGAACAAAAAGACACACTGAGAGATTTTAAATCCATCTTCAAAGAACTTTCTAAAATTGAGGTTATGTGATTTGTTCTCTGCTTGGATTTTCAGTGTATTTGTCTCCACAACAAGCAAAACTGGAGCTCAAGTTACTTGGGCAATGCTATCAGGTGTCCAGCAGCTCTGCCCCTTCCTCTGTGCTGTTTCCTTGCCAGGAGGCTCTATATTTGGGTCTGTGTGTAACAGTTGATACTTTGGCTCAAGCTGGAATGAACCAACTATTTCTTTTCTAGGAGGGATTGATACGCGTTTGTCCTTGCTGATCATATTAAAGTATCTGTGCAGAAAATAGAATTTTGATTTTTCTTGGGGAAGTGTCTGCCATCTTGATGAAAGTTCTAGAAGCTCCTCTGGTATGTCAAGGTCTGTATTCCTTTGTATGCCAAGGGGATCTCTTGTTCCAGATTTATGTATGTTCCTATCTTTGGGCCAGAAACACTTTAATGTTAGAGAGTCTAAGTTCTGAAATAATTTAACACACTGATCTAATTATTTTTAGATAAATTTTCTTTATATACAAATATATATAACTCAAATAATATGAATTTATACATAATATAAGGTTAATCAGTATTATAGGGGCCAGCTTCGTGGCGCAGTGGGTTGGGGCCTGAACCTGCAGTGCCAGCATTCCATATGGGTGCCATTTCAAGTCCCCCTGTTCCACTTCTGACCCAGCTTCCTGCTGGTGCACTTGGGAAGGCAGCAGAGGATGGGCCAGGTCTTTGGGCCCCTGCATCCATATGGGAAACCCAGAGGAAGATTCTGGTTCTTGGCTTTGGATCAGCTCAGGTCCATCCATTGTGGCCATTTGGGGAGTGAACCAGCGGATAGAAGACCTCTCTCTCTCTCTCTCTTTCTCTACCTCTCTCTCTAACCTTGTCTTTCAAATAAGTAAAATATATCTTAAAAAAAAAAAAGATTGATTAATGGGGCTGGCATTGTGGCAAGGCAAATAAGTAATATTACATTTTAATTTAACCCAGGGACTTGGTATAGACACATCTTAAATTTTTTTTTTTTATTTTGAGTATCAGAGATACAATGAGAGAGGAGAGAGACACAGAGTGATCCTCCATCCTCCATCCTCCATCCTCCATCCTCCATCCTCCCCAGATGGCTATGTTGGCCAGAAATGGACCAAGGCAAAGCCAGGAGCCAGGAACTTCATCTGGACCTCCCATGTGAATGCAGGAACCCAGACACGTGGGCCATATTATGCTGCATTCTCAGGCACATTAACAGTGAGCTAGATCAGAAGTGGAGCAGCAGGGACTCCAACCAGTGCCCATAGGGAATGCTGGCCTCGCAGGTGGCAGCTATACCTGCAATGCCACAATGCCAGAAGGCTATAAATCTTAATAGAAATAATGGTTTCATTCTAAAATAATTCAAGAAATAAAATATTCTTTATGTATGGAATTGGATTTAGAGATTTCTCTCAATCTCGAAATTATGATTGATTTCATTATGATCAATATTTTTACCTCATTACAGCTTACTTATCGAATTTTCTGTGTTGTTTATGCAAAAACAAAATTTGTCAAGGAAGTGTGACATTTTGAGTCATAACAATGTTGGACTCAGTCATATTTATATAATAATAGAATCCCAGGGGCTGGCGCTGTGGCGCAGTGGGTTAACACCCTGGCCTGAAGCGCCAGCATCCCATATGGGCGCCGGTTTGAGACCCGGCTGTTCCACTTCTGATCCAGCTCCTTGGCATGGCCCGGCAAAGCAGTAGAAGATGACCCAAGTCCTTGGGCCCCTGCATCCATGTGGGAGACCTGGAGGATGCTCCTGGCTCCTGGCTTCTGATCGGTGCAGCTCCGGCCATTGCAGCCAATTGGGGAGTGAACCATCGAATGGAAGACCTCTCTCTCACTCTGCCTCTCCTCTCTCTGTGTAACTCTGACTTTCAAATAAATAAATAAATCTTTTTTTTTAAAGAAAATAGAATTCCAGAGATACAAACTTCCATAATACACTCTGTTAACCAGCCATATATTTTAATTATGTGCACAAATATATAGTTAGATTGTATGGTTTTAAAACCTTGGTTTTGCATATACAAGCTAGTTATACAACTGTGATCCAATTACACTAACTCTGTGCCTTCATTTTCTTCTTTTAAATTATTGTTCATTTATTTCAGAGAGAGAGAGGGAGAGCAAGAAAGGAAGAGGAAGAGAAAGAAAGAGAGAACAAGAACATTCATCCATGGACCACTCTGCTAATGCCCTCAATGGCTTTGTCTGTGCAGAGGCCAGTCCTATTTCCCACATGGATGGAGAAGGCCAATTCCTTGGACCATCACTGCTGTCCCCCAGGGTCTACATTAGCAGGAACCTGGAGTCCTATGTCAGAGGTAAGTATTGAACTATCACTTCAATATGGGACATGGTGCCTTAACTGGCACCTTATCTACTAGGCCAAATATTCACCCCATGCCTTCATTTTCTTATCTGGAAATACTAGAAATCTTCAAAAAAATCATGGAACATGTGCATTATGTAAAAACTATGTATGGGGGGCCAGCGCTGTTGCATAGTGGGGTAAGCTGCCGCCACCTGCAGTGCTGGCATCCCATATGGGTGCCGGTTCAAGATCCGGCTGCTCCACTTCCGATCCAGCTCTCTGCCATGTCCTGAGAAAGCAGTGGAAGATGGCCCAAGTCCTTGGGCCCCCTGCACCTGTGTGGGAGACCCAGAATAAGCTCCTGGTTCCTGGCTTCAGATTGGCACAGCTCCGGCCATTGCAGTCAATTAGGGAGTGAACCAGCAGATGGAAGACCTCTCTCTCTCTCTCTCTCTCTCTCTGCCTCTCCTTCTCTCTCTGTGCAACTCTGACTTTCAAATAAATCTTTTTTAAAAATCCATGTATGGATCACAAATAATTTTGTGCCCAAAGAAACTCATAATAACTTGTGATAACATGTCTGAATAGATGTACTTTGAGGCACCAAGATAAGATATCACTTTGAAAACAACTGATAATCAGAGCAACATGAATCCTGCTAAAATTAAAGCAACAACAACCATCACATTTATGTGAAGCTTAGGTGAAAGAATGGTGAAATCATGGATGTTTACATAGGGACAAGGCCCCAAGGAAACCAAGTTTACAAATGGAGAACTCATTTGCAGAAAGGAAGGAATGATGTTGAAGATGAAACCTGAAATGGCACACCAGCCACATCAATTTGTCAGGAAACAATCAACTTTGTGCCCTCACCAAAGGGACCCATGACTCCCAGTGGAAACAAAAGCCAACAGCATGGAAATCTCATCTGGTTCAGCTAACATAACCCTGAATGAAGAGTTAAAGGGAGGCAAACTTTCTACACAATGGGTGCCAAAACCGTTGTACCTAGACCAGCCACAGAAAAAGGGCAGAGATTTCAATCAATGGAAATATTGAACAAGTGGGATCAGGATCCCAAAGCATTTCTTCAAAGTATTGGGACAGGAGATGAAATGTGTCTTCGCCAGTATGATCTGGAAGTTAACGCACAATCAAAGCAATGGCTCCCAAGTGGTGCAAGTGGCCTAGGCAAAACAAATGAAACAGGTCAAGACTAAAGGTTATGGCAACAGTTTTTTAGGGATGTTCAAGGCATTTAGTTTGTTGACTTGCTGGAGGGCCACAGACCGATAACATCTGCTTATTAGGAGAGTGCTTGGAGAAAGTGGGCCGATGATTTTGCAAAAAAATGCCCGGAGAGCCCTTCTCCAGGACAGTGCTCCTGCTCATTTCTCTCATCAAACAAGGGCAATTTTGTGAGAGATTTGTTGAGAAATTGTTAGGCTTCCTCATTACAATCTTGATTTGGCTCCTTTGGATGTCTTTTTGTTTCTGAGGTTTTTTTTTTTAATTTTTTTTATTTAGTAAATACAAATTTCCAAAGTACAGTTTATGGATTACAATGGCTCCCCGCTCCCCCATAATTTCCCTCCCACTCGCACCCCCCCCCCATTTCCCACTCCCTAGAAACTTATAAAGGGCACCCATTTTTCTTCAGTTAATGATGCCAAGAAGTTGCACTGACATGATTTAAATCTACCAGGATGCTCAATTCTTTTCTCAGTTCTTTTTTTGTTTTTGGAGATGTCCTAAATGGCAGATCTTATTGCTTACAAAGTATTTTGAACTTGATGGGGCTTATATTGAGAAATACAATGGATTTTAGAATTTTTAGCTTTTAGTTGCACTTTTCCATAAGAATTTTTGAAATGTCAGGCCAGCGCCGCGGCTCACTAGGCTAATCCTCCACCTTGCGGCGCTGGCACACCGGTTCTAGTACCAGTCGGGGCGCCGGATTCTGTCCCGGTTGCCCCTCTTCCAGGCCAGCTCTCTGCTATGGCCCGGGAGTGCAGTGGAGGATGGCCCAAGTGCTTGGGCCCTGCACCCCATGGGAGACCAGGAGAAGCACCTGGCTCCTGGCTCCTGGCTCCTGCCATCAGATCAGCGCGGTGCGCTGGCCGCAGCGCGCCAGCTGCGGTGGCCATTGGAGGGTGAACCAACAGCAAAAGGAAGACCTTTCTCTCTGTCTCTCTCTCTCACTGTCCACTCTGCCTGTCAAAATAAATAAAAAATAAAGAATTTTGAAATGTCTTAGTAATGGTAGCTAGTTCCTAGAGTTTCTAGGAGGATGAACACGTCAACAGATATGAATACATAGATAAATATGTTGTGTTTAATAAGTATCATTGTTGAAATATCCTGGTATTTATAAAAGCTATTTGCTTTTTTTTAAGATTTATTTATTTATTCGAAATTTAGAGTTACACAGAGAGAGGAAAGGCAGAGGGAGAGAGAGAGAGAGAGAGGTCTTCTATCTGCTGGTTCACTCCCCAGTTGGCTACAACACAACGGCCGGAGCTATGCCAATCCAAAGCCAGGAGCCAGGATCCTCCTCCGGGTCTCCCACATAGGTGCAGGGGCCCAAGGACTTGAGCCATTTTGTACTGCTTTCTCAGGCCATAGCAGAGAGCTGGATAGGAAGTGGAGCAGCCAGGACTTGAACTGGTGCCCATATGGGATGCCGGTGCTTCAGGCCAGGGCGTTAACCCGCTGTGCCACAGTGCTGGCCCTATAAAAGCTATTTGTAGGCTGGTGCTGCAGCTCACTAGGCTAATCCTCCGCCTGTGGCACCGGCACACCAGGTTCTAGTCCTGGTCGGGGTGCTGGATTCTGTCCTGGTTGTCCCTCTTCCAGTCCAGCTCTCTGCTGTGGCCTGGGAGTGCAGTGGAGGATGGCCCAGGTCCTTGGGCCCTGCACCCGAATGGGAGACCAGGAGAAGCACCTGGCTCCTGCCTTCGGATCAGCGTGGTGTGCTGGCCACAGCGGCCATTGGAGGGTGGACCAACGGCAAAGGAAGACCTTTCTCTCTGTCTCTCTCTCTCACCGTCCACTGCCTGTCAAAAAAAAAAAAAAGCTATTTGTATATATACATACCAATGCATATCAATGTGTATAGTCACCCCCCAGTGTCAGTGGGTCAGTGGTGTATGGGATCCAAGGCCCTCTCCAGTAATAAAGTCCATAGATGCTCATGTCCCTTTTTTTTTTTTTTGAAGATTTATTTATTTATTTATTTGAAATTCAGAGTTACACAGAGAGAAGAGGAGAGGCAGAGAGAGAGAGAGAGAGAGAGAGCAAGTGAGCGCACAGCCTTCTATCCACTGGTTTGCTCCTTGATTGGCTGCAATGGCTGGAGCTGTGCTGATCCAAAGCCAGGAGCCAGGAGCTTCTTCTGAGTCTCCCATGTGGGTGCGGGGCCCCAAGGACTTGGGCCATCTTCTACTGCCTTCCCAGGCCATAGCAGAGAGCTGGATCGGAAGTGGAGTAGCCAGGACTTTTAACTGGCACCCATATGGGATGCTGGCACCACAGGCAGTGGCTTTACCTGCTACGCCACAATGCAAGCCCCCTTATATCCCTTTTATAAAGTGACATAATATTTGCATCTACCCCATACAACCCTCCAACATACTTTAAAACATCTCGAGATTATTTATAACCAGTATAATATAAATGCTATGTAAATAATTGTTATGCTGTATTGACTAGGGAATAAAGAGAAGAAAAAAGTCTATTGTGTTCAATATAGATACACCCAACCCAGGCTCACCTTGTAGTACATTCTAGAAGATCAATGCTCAGATCAGGACTAGAGCGATACTGAGAATGTATCAAATGATCAAAAAATGGGTATGCCTGCCCATTGCTTCATTCACAGGGAAGCTGTTAGAGTTCACTGTGTGGCAAATTTAAATTTCATTTTTGGGGGCTTTCTGGAATTTCCTTTTTAGTGTATTGTACCCATGTTTGCTGGAGTCTGCAGATATGAACCTACAGATACCAAGGACTTAATGTATGTGTATATAACAATGGTATGTGTGTTAATATGTACTTACTAGTTCTGTTTACTACAACAGTAAACTATTTTTCACAGAGGATTTCAAAAGTACAAAAGCCAAGAAGAGTTAGAATAAAGTTATACCAAATTTTACCACCCAGAGGCAACGACTGATAACATTCATAGCCGAACTCTTTCCATGAATTCTAATAGGTAAACATTAATGTGTAAGTAATATTTAACTAGAAATGAATAGATTTTAAAATTTATGCATAGCAAAACTGGAGTTACCTTGTTAAAGCCTTTAAATTCTGAGAGGAAGCAGGCATCCAACTATCAGTGGCATTGTGTTGTTTTGATACAGTTATTGATCCGTACTCATTCTCTCATATTATTACTTATCTTGAAAACCATTCTATGTTTGTTACAGATTTTTGATGAATTGATTCATCACTCTTAGGACTCTGTTCCTTACATTTTGGCCAGAAATGATATGCCTTAATACATTCCACTGTGACTACAAATGTGGGAACCTTCCAACCAAAATATTAGTTTCCTTGCATTTCCCAGAGTATATAAATGGATTTTAAAAACACTTAGTAGAGGTACTATCTTTGGGGTGGAGTGATTTTACTGTAAATAAAGTGTGTTAAGATTAGACTTCCCCAAGGATCTTACCAATCCAAAATACCACTTGTTTAAGACCTTATTTGTAATACTAGCCTCATTCATAATCATGTCCTCATCACTCCACCATTGATCGAGAGATGCATGAGAAACTCTAAACCCAGACATGTGAAAAAACATATCAGATTAATCAGTAGAGATTACATCAGTAGTTTGGAACAAAAACCATACTTGAAAAAAACTAAGATTAAAAAACCAATTCATTTAAAATCAATTTTGGGTTAATAAAAGTTTATATTATCATGATGAATTCCATCAATTCATGTGGGTTGTATTGTCTTATATATAGATATGTATGTGTGTATAATGTGTTCTTTAAATCTATGAAATATAGAAAAGTATACAGTGAAAACTTAACTTCCTCATAATGCCATCTCCCAGAGATAACTCCTGTATTTATATATACTTTGCTATACATACAAAGATAATTTCTAGAATAAGTAGTGTTTCACTTGTGATTCAGAATAGATACAGTTGTTATTAGCTGTTCCATTGGTTAAGAAACTGATAAGGTCAAAAAAGATATTGATTTCTTGATTCTAAGTGATGGTAGGTTACTATACTGCACTACTTTAATATAAATACTTTTAAGAATCTTGAAGTGACTTATTTGAAAAGTCATCAACTTAGAAAAATCCTAAAAGCAAAAATTACAATATTTCCCCCCCAAAATGAATTTGCTGATCACATCATTTATATCAACAGAGCTTGTGGCTTGTAGATGCTCACTCAGTAAGAGTGCATAACATTTTAGTGACTTATGCCCAGGTGTTGATGGTAAGAAAAAGTCATTGGCAGTGTATCAGAAAGGGTTTAGAGAGGAAACAATTGGTACACTCAAAGTGTTTAACTGAGAATAATTTATAGGGATTTTGTACAGAGGTGTGGGCAGGTGTCTTCTTTACAAATGACTTACTACGTTTTGTAAGTAAGATCTAAGTCAGTACTCTCATAGTGAATATTCTGTCTTTTTGCATATTCTCCTGAACTTATTGGTAGAAATATACAAGATATTATGAGTACATTTTTTATGAATCTCTCCTTGGTTTCCCAGACCAACTCTTTTCACATCAACGCAAACTAACCCTAATCCTAACTGGAAGGTTGAATGAGACTTTTAATCCCAGTCTGCCCATGAGTCAGGTTGAGAAGATGACTGCCTTGGCACAACTAAGGGGGTTCTGCTCCAGGCCCATTTCTTACTTTCTTCAAATAACAACTTTAAATTCCAAGCATCAGATTGGCTCAACTTTGATATTATTGTGAGAACTATTCCTCCCCTTCTGACATCTCAGACCTGGAGCTATCCGGTTCTTTTTTGCAGTGTCTTTGCTGTCTATCCTTATTTGTTCTTCTCACTTCCCAGTTGGCTGACATTTTGTACAAGAAACCACCAATGGAATACACGACCCCTTCAAAGCTTACTCCTCTTCCTTCAGTATCAGTTATTAATACCACTCCAAAACTGAACCTGGGAGTGACATTTGTTTGGTGGAGAAGACATCGCTTGGGACACTCATATTCCATATTAGAATTCCTGGATTCTGGGGCCAGAGCTTTGGCATAGTGGGTAAAGCCACTGCCTGTGGGGCCAGCAACCCACGGAAACACTGGTTCCAGTCCCAGCTGCTCTACTTCCAATCCAGCTCCCTTCTAATGCGCCTGGGAAAGCAGTGGAATATGGCCCAACTCCTTGGACCCCTGCATCCATGAAGGAGACCTGGAAGAAGCTGCTGGCTCCTGCTTCGGAGTGGCCCAGCTCCAGCCATTGTGGTCATTTGAGGTAATGAACCAGTAGATGGAAGATTTCTCTCTCTCCTCTCTCTCTCTCATTCTTTCAAATAAATAAATAAAACCTAAAAAAGAAAAAAAAATTCTTGGATTTGAATCCTGGTTCTGCTTTTGATTTCAGCTTCCTCCTAATATGCACCCTAGCATACCTCCATCCAAAACAGTACTTACCTAAGTGTGTAAATATTTGCTGTAGTGTTTTGTTATCTGATGTATGACTCAGTACCTCTTGCAGGTGATGCCTCAAGTACTTAAGTTCTTGCCACCCACATGGCAGACCCAGATTGAGTTCTGGGCTCCTGACTTTGCTTGGCCAAGCCTCAACTATGGCAAGAATGTGGGGAGTGAGCCAGCAGATGGAAGATCTCTCTCTCTTTCTCTCCTTCTCTCCCCCTCTCTCCCTCTCCCTCTCTTTCTCTGCCTTTCAATTTTTTCTTTAATAAACAAAGATGTAAAAAAAAAAACAACTTGAATCTATGATGCTAATTTAAACTTTGCACTCCCCTTCAATCACAGTCACCTCACTTCATGATCTGTCCTTACAGTCTTTCTTTTCCTGTAATTAATTAATTTATTTTTGAGACGACATTTTTAATTTATATTGTAGTCAAAGACTTAGTGCTCTACTAAAAAACCATACTGCCTTTTTTGCCCATTTATTTATTCCTTTTCACTTGCTTTGTGCCTCCTTTGCTTCTGCCTTTCCCACAGGATTCCTTAGTAAGACTTAATATTACACTGTACAGGGGCCGGTGCTATGGCACAGAGGGTTAATACCCTGGCCTGAAGTACCAGCATCCCATATGGGTGCCGGTTGGAGACCCAGCTGCTCCATTTCCAATCCAGTTCTCTGCTATGACCTGGGAAAGCAGTAGAAGATGGCCCACGTCCTTGGGCCTCTGCACCCATGTGGGAAGCCCTGGAGGAAGCTCCTGGCTCCTGGCTTCAGATCAGCGCATCTCCGGCCGTTGCGGCCAATTGGGGAGTGAACCATCGGATGGAAGACGTCTCTCTCTCTCTCTCTCTCTCTCTCTCTCTCTGTATCTCCTCTCTCTGTGTAACTCTGACTTTCAAATAAATAATCTTTAAAAAAGAAAAAAAATAAATAAAATTACACTCTACATTTTATCTCTTTACCAACTGTCTCTTCAGGTGTAAGAATAGCTAATGCTTTCTCTTCATTTTAGATTTTAAATGTTAAATACTCATACCTCTGAGTGATTTATTTTCCTTTCAGGATTAGAACTGAAAAGACAATTTGGCTTACAGTAATATAAGAACTTTTTAAAGCCCGGCACCTTACAGTTTATTGGGTACAACTGTAAAAACTCGTCACAGCCATGCCATCTTGTAATTAAAAAGTTTCTGTTATTTTTGAAGCTCTGTAAGAGGTTCTGAGTCATACACTGGATAACAAAATGTTAGAGCAAACATTTACACACTTATGTAAATACTGCGTTTAGATGGAATACTCTGAAAACCTCTTTCTGCTAAATCAGCCCATTTTTTGATTTTTTTTTTTCCTATTCTAGCTTTTTGTGAACTCAGTATGACAATGTGAGACTTTTAATATAGTTTCCTTTGTGGCCAGTGCCTCATTGCTAAACCTGCTGGAGTTAACAAGGCCAAGGACACTGGTTTGATTTCCCAATGGATCCAGTATCTTCCTGTTAGATTGTAGCCACCGAGTGTCCTTCAAACCATGACCAACCATTTCATAAAAGTTGTCATGAGGCACACGGCGAAGAGGAGTCAGTGGCCATTCAACATAAAGCAAGTTAGGGCATGCATCCTACTGGAAATGGTGCCGATCATTCTTCATATACGAATAATTCACCATTTATTTTAGCTGTACAATTTGTTGCAGTGACACCTCTATGACTCTCAACAGTGTTATTTTTCACAATATTCTATTTTCTTTTTCCAGTCTTTCACCTGGATAGCTTACTGAATTTACAAAGAGACAATGTGATGTCATGAAAAGAACATGGTGTTTGGAGTTAGATCCTTATCACTAATGAGTTATGTGACCTTGGCTAAATTTCTTAACCTCTAAGTTTGTTTCTTCCTCTGAAAAAACACCTACCTTATATGGTTGTAAAAAAATAAGGGGGCCGGCGCTGCAGCTCACTAGGCTAATCCTCCGCCTTGCAGTGCCGGCACACCGGGTTCTAGTCCCAGTCGGGGCGCCGGATTCTGTCCTGGTTGCCCCTCTTCCAGGCCAGCTCTCTGCTGTGGCCAGGGAGTGCAGTGGAGGATGGCCCAAGTGCTTGGGCCCTGCACCCCATGGGAGACCAGGATAAGTACCTGGCTCCTGCTATCGGATCAGCGCGGTGCGTCAGCTGCAGCGCGCCGGCCGCAGCAGCCATTGGAGGGTGAAACAACGGCAAAAGGAAGTCCTTTCTCTCTGTCTCTCTCTCTCACTGTCCACTCTGCCTGTCAAAAAAAAAAAAAAAAAAAAAAAAAAGTAAAAAAAAAAAAGCAAAAGAAATAAGGGGCCGGTGCTGTGGTGTAGTATACAAAGCTGCCATCCTCAGCGCTGGCATCCTACGTGGGCACTGGTTGGAGTCCCAGCGGCTCCATTTCTGATCCAACTCCCTGCTAATGTGCCTGGAAATGCAACAGAAGATGGCCCGAATACTTGGCACCCTGCACTCAAGCAGGAGACCCAGAAGAAGCTCCTGGCTCCTGGCTTTCGATCAGCCAACCCTGGCAGTTGTGACCATTTGGGGGAGAGAATCACTGGATGGAAGATCTCTCTGTCTCTGCTTTTATCTCTCTCTCTCTCTCTCTCTCTCACCCTCTCTTTCTCTTTCTCTCTATAACTCTGCCTTTCAAATAAATAAATAAAAATTTTTTTGACAGAGTTTGATAGTGAGAGAGAGAGAGAGAGAGAGAGAAAGGTCTTCCTTCCGCTGGTTCACTCCCCAAATGGCCGCCACAGCCAGCGCTGTGCAGATCCGAAGCCAGGAGCCAGGTGCTTCTTCCTGGTCTCCCATGCGAGTTCAGGGGCCCAAGCACTTGAGCCATCCTCCACTGGCACTGAATTTTCAACAGTAGAGTGAAATATAGTCCTCCCCAAAGAAAGTTGTGTTTAATGGAGATAATTCTGCTTCAATTTGGAAATTCCAATTAGTTAAAATGTCCAATTAATTAAACTGATATAAAGCAAGAAAACCCTTTCCGTTTTCCAGTTGCAGTAACCATGTTTCAACTGTCCAACAGCCACTGAACGTGTGGCTACTGATTTGGACATAGCAGCTTTGAACCTTTTGTTGTCACTTCTAGAGGGTTCAAAGACCTCACCAAGTTCAGCCTTGCTTCCATGTCGCTTGGTTAAGAGCTGTTCCTATAAGGGAAGTTTAATTGGCCCAGTCCTTAAGAGGCCACTTGGGACTGCAGCAATCTGAGCGCCTGGATTCTGGTCCTGGCTCTGCTTCTGATCCAGTTTCCTTTCTCCCGTTCCCTTATCCTGGAAAATGCTGTGCGATGGCTCAGGTCGGAGTTCTGGGCCCAGCCCTGGCTATTGTGGGCATCTGGGAAGTGAACCAGTGGATGGGAGATCTCTCTGTTAGGAAAAAGAAGGAGGGGGGGAGGAAGGGAAGGTGGGAGGGAGGGAGAGGACGGAGGGAAGGAGGGGAAAGGAAGAAAGAAAGAATTGTTCTTTTCACATTTACAAGGCAATTCGCAGTGCAAAAGAATCTACAAGTTACTTTCCGGGTATTCCAAGTTCATTATCCGCATTTGCCTAGGAATAAATTCCTCGTCAAAATCGAGGAAACTTTCAGAAGGAGGAAAGCAGGTTATGGATCTGGATATAGAAAAACAAGTTCAAGATGAAGTGGTTGCAGCATTGTCGCGCGATGTTAGATTTCAGTGCTGCAGATTAGGGCTACCGATTTTCACCTTCCCGACAAGCAGCTTTCAGGGTCTGCTCTTCTCGGAGCCTACAACTTCTCTCAGAAGAATCCAGGCGGTAGCTGCTGAACTTGCATAGATAGGGATGTAGCCAAAGTCCTCTTCTATTTTTAGCCAGAGCAACTGTTGGCCAATACAACTTTCTGGGCAGAGAAGTGCACCCTCCTGCAAAACGGACACGCAGAAGGTTAGCCCTTTGCCAGGTCCCCTTTGAAATCCCCTCACACTACTCCCACCGAAACTCGATAGCGCAATTGTTTTCCGCAGCGGCTGCAGCCAGCCCCATCACGCGCGCGCCCCGGGCACCCCCTTCGCCTTCTGGGTCAGGGCTCGGAGCCCCACCGCGCTGCCCGGCTGGGGGCGTGGCCTGGCGCGAAGGGGCGTGCCCAGGGCCGGGGGCGGGGCTGCCGCGCCGGGAGGCGGAAGTTCTCGCGGGCCGCGGGGACGGCGCACGCACCGCCAGTCACTTGTCAGCGCTCGTCTGAGGCGGAGGCAGCGCCGCGCCGGACCCGAGGTGAGTGTCCGGCGGCTGCAGATGCGCGTCTCGGCTCTGTGGCAGAGAGGAGGGGAGAAGCTGGTCTCCTCGTGGGCCGGCTCGCTGAGGAGGAGGAAGGGGCGCACCTCGGGCCGGGGCGGCTCCTCAGGTGCTTTCTGGGCGCGGAGCGGCGGAGGTGGGAGAGCGGCCAGGGCGAGAGGAGCTCCCGGGAAGAGGCAGTGCGGGGGTGGGCGTGAGGCTGTAGGGCTAGCCCTGGCAGTTCGGGTCGGCCGGGAGGAGCGCCCTGGAGGCTGGGGGGTGGTGCGGGCGGGCTCCGGGGGGCTCCTGAGCCCCGCCGCGCCGACCTTCCCCTGCCGGCTGCCGGCGTGGCTGGGCGGCCCGCCTCGGGTCTCCCCACGACCTGCGCCAACCCCTTGGGGGAAGACGTGAGTTATTTTTGTGTGTGTGTGCGCTCAGGGTCCTGAGGATCCTTCATCCCCACCCCCCACCCCCAGTATTTACAGTTGTGTAACCTGTTCAGGGAAAACTTGTGCGCCCAGACATAAAGCTCGTTAAAAAAAAAAAAAAAAACAACTTGCCTAATTGTTGGGGCTTTTGCAAGGCGGTGCGTTTGACAATAAGTGGAAAAAGGAAGGGCGTATGGACTGGGCAGAACTTGGAAAGAAAATCCGTAGCCTGCGCTGGGCAGGGCAGGTCTAGGGTGTGATCGCCGGCTCCTATCCCAGGTCCGCCTCCCTGACCGCGAGGACGTCTGAACCCGCCTGCCACGGAAGCAGCGCGCCCGGGAGCCTTATTTGGCCAACAGGGCGAGGCGCGAACCTCGGCTGGAAACTGTCTCGTCGGCTACTTTTCGTCCTACGCCTGTGGCTTCTGTAGCTCTGCTCCATTATCCCTCTATTGGAGGGCAGGGGCCGGGGGAGGGAACCTCAAGATATTTCTTCCTAATTTCAGGCTCTACTTGTCACTTGGTGCAGATCATCGCAAGTTCTCCACCCTAAGAAGCTCGGGTACAAATGTGGCAATACCAAGTTTCCTAGTCCTAAAGTGAAGTTAGTGTGTAGACTTCACCCGAAAGGAATCCCCACGTTTTCTGTGTTTCAAAGCAGGTTGCTGTTTCCTGCTGACTCACTTATTTAGGAAGGATTTGGTCACTAATAGCTAGAGGGAGGAGACCCGGAAAAGACCACTACAACTATTGCCATGGCTTAGGGATCAGAAGGTCTTGAAGGCAAATGAATTGCAGGTGACGCTAGCAGGAGAGTCCAGCTTGGAGATGTCGCTGGCTACAAGTGCAAAGACTCTGGCCTCGTCCTGTGACTGTGACCTTGCAGGTCCTATAAATTCTGACAACAAGTGGGAGAGGTCAGGAAGGGAGTCCCCAAGTTAAGAGAAGTTGCATGTCGATGGCTTGATATATAAATTAAATAGATTTTCTTGTAGGGAAGAATGGGCTAGAGGAAGTTGAGCCTAAAGTTCACATACTTCCCCTGCTAGAAGTTAAAGATTAAAAAAAGGAGGGCAGGCAGCCTGCGAAAGTCAGTTGGCTTTACATGATTCTGATTTGTCACGTGTGCCAATAGCAAGATTTTCTCGACTACGCTACTAGTTTTAATGAAGATCGTCTTTTGTATTGCAGGAAAACACCACCTCCCCGCTATTAATTTTTCACCTACATGCAACAGTTTAACTTCTGGCGTGGCTTTGGGTCTTTTTAGTGCCTGTGTCTGCTACTTCAGTACTGAAGTAATGTGTTATTGCCTGCTAGTTTAATGTACTTCCACGCCATGGAAAAGCTCATTTAGTGCCTAAGTAGATACAGTGCAGATTTTTCCCTGATTTAATTTTTCTTTAAGATCCAGGCTTATTTGAAAGTTGGGTCTAATTTTCCCTTTCTGAGAAGAAGGAATCTGTTTGCTTTAAGTTTGAATAGCTGCATCTGTCACTCTGAATCTGGTGTGAAGGGATAGTAATTTTCAGTGTGTTAAAAAGTGGAAAAATATGTCAAGACAGGTAATATAAAGTGAATTTGGTTGAACAGCTCAGATTTTCCAAGGAAGTGTGTCTTAAATGGCTGCTTCCTAAAGTGTCTTTTAATAATTTTAAAATTATACACCTGTTAATATTTTTAATACTTTTAAAAGGAGAGACCTGTTATGTTTCTTAGTATTACATTAAAAAAAAAAAAAACTCCATTCCTCCCAATTTCTCCCATCCCTATAAAAACCAAAACACCCAATCAGACTTCGTTTTTTTTTTTTTAAAGTACAACCTTGAGAGTCATTAGGAGCACAAGCAAAAAAAAAAAAAAAAAGGAAAAAAAGAAAGCACTGAGGTGCTGATTCTTTTTTAAATCTCAGTTCAGTTTCATGTGTAAATGTTAACCCTGTGGTCCTATGGCATTCAGTCATAGTTGTATTCAGTGAGTGCTCACCCCTCCCTGTGAGAAATGTGTATGAAACGAAAAGCCGCTTCTGCCTAAATGTCACCATACTCAAGCATTTGTCATTGCCTATTTGAGGGAGAAGTGAATATTACTTTAAGTATAGAAGATACCATGTCCCTGGAAGTGGAAATACGAGTTGTAGTTCATGATTGGAGAAAAGAGTTTTGTGCACAGGAAAGCATCTTCTGTTTTAAACGATTTAGTGTTTGGAAAGCATGAATGGGAGCCTGCTGATTTGCAGCCCTGTCCATGTGTTAGAATAGCTTAGAATTTAAGTAAGTGAAATTGAAGGACTCTTGCCAACTGCAGGCAAAAGAATGTATGAGGTAGAAGGAAAGGGAAAATCACTTTGAGTTAAACCTGAAATAAAATCCTGCTTTTCTTATATACATTAATGAGGTGTTGTAAAGTGCTTTGAATTAAAGTTTGTGTGCAGGAAGCTAGAATATTGGATTGTAGCAAATTGTAAAACTGGTCAAGTAAGTGTCTAGAAATATATTCTGATACAGAATTTTTAGACTATGGAAATTGACTTGAGTATAAAAACTGTTTATTAGCTTATACATTCCTTTTCTTAGGCTGAAATTGGTGAGGAACTTAATAGACTTATTAAAATAATTAAGTTGGCTTTATATTAAATACATTTAAATGTGTAGTAAGGTTTCAAATAAACATTTTTGGTAACCATTTAATTTTCTTTTACAGTTTCTTACATTTTCTGGCATTGGCCCTTCAGCCATTAGAACCATGAGCAACTACAGCGTGTCCTTGGTTGGCCCAGCTCCTTGGGGTTTCCGACTGCAAGGTGGCAAGGATTTCAACATGCCTCTGACAATCTCTAGTGTAAGCAGACTTTACAGATTTTATTACAGATGTTCATTCAGTGTGTGGCGCTCGAAACCTCAGGGCTCATTGTTGAATTCTCTGTTGACCTGTACTTTATTATGATTGCTTGTAGGATCTGACTTTGGCAAATTTAGTTATCTATAGTGAAGGAAGGGAGAGGAGATTTAGCAAGGATAAATGATTTCATTTTAGTTTACTTTTTATTTCACTCCCCCAACCCCATATTATCAGTAGGAAAATGGAAAAGCATTTAATTGAGGACAGACCCTAAAATTTTGTGTGGCCAATTCTCTGGACTTTGTACTTTCTGCATATATAACTTTAAAAGGTTGCGGTATGGAATTTTAGCTGTCCCTCTCCGATCTAAATGTTGTTTATTAAAAACTTTTGAGTAGGCCGGCGCTGCGGCTCAATAGGCTAATCCTCCGCCTGCGGCACCAGCACACCGGTTCTAGTCCCGGTCGGGGTGCCGGATTCTGTCCCGGTTGCCCCTCTTCCAGGCCAGCTCTCTGCTGTGGCCAGGGAGTGCAGTGGAGGATGGCCCAAGTGCTTGAGCCCTGCACCCCATGGGAGACCAGGAGAAGCACCTGGTTCCTGGCTTTACATCAGCGTGGTGCGCTGGCCACAGTGCGCCAGCCACAGCGGCCATTGGAGGGTGAACCAACGGTAAAGGAAGACCTTTCTCTCTGTCTCTCTCACTGTCCACTCTGCCTGTCCAAAAAAAAAAAAAAAAAAAAAGTAAAATCTGATAAAATGACTATTTTTGGTGTTATTTCCTGAAATAGCTTTCTGGTGGAGGTGCTGGTCAAACAGTAAAATGACCAGAGCTACCTGTCTTTCAGGAGGAAATAAAAGGCTTAAGTTTCCAATTACAGAGTAAGGCTATGATTAATTGAGATTTGGCATTTTACTCACTATGAATATAGTTTGAATGTATTCTTGAATATATTCTATGTAAGTATTTTAAGGGTATATTTTCATGATGAGGAGGAGGAGGACAATAATTGTAGCTTCCAATTATAGGGGCTTGACTATATGTCAAGAAATGTTTCATTTTCATCACCAATAGAAAAGAGTTACTACTGGTTGCTTACATAACTTTCTAGAGTTCTGTTTTGTCTTTTAAAACACTAGAGAGATAGACAGATGGGTAGTTTCCATCTGTTGGTTCATTCACCAAATGCCTGTAATGGTCAGATCTGAGCCAGGCCAAAGCCAGGCTCCAGGAACTCAGTCCAGGTCTTTTAAGATGATGGCAGGAGCCTAATTATCTGAACCATCGTCTTCTGCCTCTCAGGGTTCACATTAGCAGGAAACTGGAACTTGAACCTAGGCACTGTGATAAGGAATGCAACATCTCAACCAATGGCTTAATCACTAAGCCAGATAACTGCCCCCAGAGGGCTTGTTTATATGTATTCAAATAAAGCAGGATTTCTATTCTTTTACTCAGATGATAGCATACTAGATACACTGTCCGATGGCCTGCATTTTTTTTTAGAATTTACAATGGAAAATTTTCCCTAGTAATGTATAATGTGAATATAAACTTTTTCAGACAACTGTATAGTATTCTCTTATAGTTAAGTAACACTTATTTAACCAGTCCTTTGCTAAAGGGCACTAATATTGTTTCCAATGTTGCTATTACAAACAGTGCTGCCATGAGCACCATACATATGTGCACATACATATGTGTCTATACATACGTATGCTGTATATGTCGTTTTGATAGGCTGCGTTTTTTCCCCCTAATTACTATAAATATATCATCTCAGTTAATTCTGACACCAGTCTACAAAATAGTGATGTTATTCCCACTGTACAAAACTCCTGTGAGCTCACGTGGCTGGTGTGGAGGAGCTGACTTTCAAGCTGGAAGCTGTTGCCACAGTAATAATTTGCTTTATCTTAAATTTAGTTAGATTGTTTCTCTACTCAGGTGTTTAGTAGGTTATCTTTTGTTTCATTAATATATGTGTATATATAAAAGCCTCTAGAAAGTTATACAAATAGCTATATAAATACATACTGCATCTTAGTGTGCTTGCATATATGTGTGTGTGTGTCCATCTTGATTTTGCAAGATTAAAAATCAGTTTGTAGCACTATTTAAGAGCTACAAATCCCATTTTATTAATAGTTTCTTTGTTCTGGGCTGCATATTTTAAAATTTTATCTCTATCCTGATTCCAGTTAATTAGATTTTATAAGGTCTTATGTATATTCATAATCCAGCATGCAAGTTTTAGGAGCTTTCATGATTGGATGAAATTGTACATGTAAAGGGTCCATGTGAAAATGTGTCTTGTGATTTATTCTTGTTTTTTCCTTCTGCTGAAGATTTATTATGAGGATAGAAATGGTAGTTGAATATTGCTTATTTTTTGCTAGTATTTTATATTAAGCTGGAGCATTTTACAAAGTTTAAAATACTGAAGTTTTTGCTAGAAAAAAGTCTAGGAATGTATTGACATCTAAATGAAATACACATAATCATCCTTTTGTCTTTTGTTAATCAGAATGTAAGTGGAATATGCAAATTTTGTGGTAATATGCCTTTAAAAAGTTTTATGTGCTTCAGTTCCCTGGCAGACAATTTGAGATGGTAGCTCTATGTTGTGATGCTGATACAACAGAACACTGTGTACATACATTTGTGCCCTCCCCTGGCAAAGAAGAAATGCCTTCCTTGTGTAGACAGAGTGCTAATTAAAGGATTTCAAACATACTGATTAGAAGAGACTACGGGAACAAAGCTGCCGAGTTATTTCTGTTCTCTGACAAAAGTCTCTGCCATCTCCTGTGACCTTTTTGGGCCTTGTGCAGTGGGGCATGCAATCCATTCTGGACTGGAGAGGATTGGAAGGGGAGGGGGAGGAGAGAAGGGAATGTTGGCTTAACTGGGCTGTAAGGCTGTTGGCCTTTCATTGTAGTTATTTTTAACCCCTTGTGGGTTTAGTTTAAACATGCCCAGGAACATTAATGAAGATTTGTGCCTAATAACTAATTTATGTTGTGGTAAAATTATTAATGTTATAAATTTTAAGTTACTCTCATCTTAATTAGTTCTTTGATTATACTTATTCTGCCTTAATTATATAAAATTACTGGGATATTTTTCAGTGAACATCAGGTACTTTAATAGTGCCAAGAAGCAATTAAAACCTGAAAGCATGCCTTAAAACTTGTAATTTAATTCTCTTATTTTAATAATGCGTATGAAATTCTTAGTAAGGTTTGGCATACAATATACTCTCAATTGTTATCTTTTATGATGACATTATTAAATTAAAAAAAAATTTTAAGGAATGGAAACTGTCTCCCATAATTGTAGGGAACATAGCAGTAATATGTTTTTTCACTTAGGGTTTATTGGGATTGAAAAAGAAAAAAAGAGTCAGAAGTTTGTGTTTAGCTGGGAACCTGTATCTTTATATTTAGTGTTCAGAAACATTTAGTTCTTTGGTCAGATATTATTATGTTGAACTCTGAAGGACCCTTTCCATTCCTTTATAACATAGTAATTTTGGGGCACAAATTGTGTTTTGAGATAAATAAGCTAGTGGCAGGGACTGGGAGCTTTTTGTTTTGTGAGATTTTGCTTTACTGGCATATGCATATGCTGTATATGACTTTATCTTAAGCATACAAACTGTAAAATTTTAACATTTCATTCACATTTCTTCATCATCTGTGTTGTGTGAGTCTTGTATACTGTTTTGTGGGTGAATTTCTAAGATTGGCAATTTTTGCTAACTTTGAAAAAAATCCTTCAGATTACTGTAACTGTATGATCAGATGTCATTGTCTTCAATTTCTTATCCTTAAAGTGGGGTGCTGGCTACAGGAGTTTATAGGCAGAGTGTTTATGACCCTGTGTTTATGGACTTGCCCTGAAGCTGTGGAATGTGGGGATGGGTTTCATTGTAGCAGTGTGAGTTTTGTTGGTCTTTGCCAATATATTTTATAAGAAGAAATAGGAGACTTGTTGCACAATTCAGGACTGTATTTTGGCAAATTGATATGCCTCACAGTAGAATTACAAGAAGGATTATATATTTGTGAATGATATCTTTTAAGTTTAACATCTTAAAGTTTAAATACTCTGCTCGGTGTTATTTCTCATGTGTTATTTCATTGTCAGTATTTGGATTCTGTGAAGATTGTCTCCCAATTCTCCAAAAATATACTTAGACATCTCTTAAGTAGATAAGAATGAAGTCAGACTTTTCAATACCAGAATAATGGTGACTTTGAGTCTTAAAGTTAGGGGAGGATGAATTGTTACAAGCTCAGACAAACTTTTGGTTGGATTTGAAAAGCAGAAGAAATTGACCACTTTCTGGAATGAGTTCTGTGTGGGAATATAACACAACAGAGAAAGACAAAAGTTGTGTAGCACTTTGCCCTTGAATGCATTCATTCAGTAGTGATATAAATACTTCCTAGAAGCTTTTAAAGAAGATACTAAGTGTTGGCAAGTGAAAAGTTTGGGTAGAAACGAAACATGCCCAGTCCTACTATACTAGACAGTGTCATAAGCCCTGACAACAGGACGGTATATTTGATGAGATGACAGTGATACAGATAACTTTTCCTCAGTTCTAGTGGGCGTAGACATTTTTATTGTCTTTGTAGGGGTTGGCTTCTTTCAGGAGAAATTAGTTGAACTTGAAGGATGTAATTTGAACATCTCCAAGTGAGGAGGGTATGGTGAAGACAAAGACTTTTTCTGCCATTGATTGACTGAGTAGAGCTGGGAGTGTTAGCTGAATGATTCTCCAGACGGGCCAGCTGCAAAGTTTCTCTCCTAGATGAGGACAGAAAGACTTACAGTCTTCTCAGGCTGAAAAGGGAGACCCATTCTACCTTGGATAAATGAGCCCATTGTTAATTTTAAGCTGTTGAGTGTTTTCTTTTACATTCCCGCCAAACCACCCTGTCATTATGCCAAGTTAGAAAGTTAATTTAGTTTGTATAACTACATAATGTAT